TCAGAGCTCAGGCAAGGTTGAGAGAATGAATCGAACTCTGAAAACTAAGTTAGCTAAAATGTGTCAAGAAACAGAACTTAGTTGGATTCAACTTCTTCCTCTAGCAGTGTTACATATTAGATGCACCCCCACTAGGAGCATTGGACTGTCTCCTTTTGAAATGCTTTATGGGAGGCCCCCTCCTTTGTTTCCCAGATTGCAAGGGGAACTGCATGAGATAGGGGCCCAGGCAAAGAGACAGGAAATGGTTGCTTTGGGGAAAACACTGCAAGAGCTACGACAGTATGCCTATGAGTTCAGGCCGCCCATTCACATGACCCCCACTCACTTGTTTCACCCAGGGGATGAGGTGTGGGTTAAAGATTGGAAAGGGGAAACTTTGCAACCCAAATGGAAGGGACCCTATGTGGTAATTCTTACATCACCCAGTGCGGTCAAGGTAGCAGAAATCAAACCTTGGCTTCACTGGACTAGAATTAAAAAGGCTGCTCCCAGTTGGCAAGCTATTCCAGACCCAAAAGACCCACTAAAGCTTAAAATAACTTGAAACTTTGGTTGTTCTAACCAAAAGGGAGGCGTTGGTGAATAAGAAGATTCAGACTAGACTGATACTGCAAGACACATACCAGGAAGCTGTCTTGCCCTGCGTACAGTCAGATCTGCCCCTGCTGTTGGATGAGAAGATACGGGCTAGACATTGCGGCTTAAGTCCATACCTGGAAGCGACTAAGCTCTACGCACTGTCAGACCCCAACTGGATAGAAGACGGAACTAGACCCTATTGCAACCTACCGGAACGGTTGCTCTACATACGGTCAGATTCCAGAAGAATGAAAGCTTTGTGGGTGATATGTGTGTTAATGTGTGTGTCAATTTTGGAAGTAGATGGTAACTGGTTCAAGGAGCATGCCAAATTTATGTTTGATCAATATGGGAGAAATGCCACTCTGATATATGAACACCCTGAAACAGTACGTGAGTTTTCCTTTTTGCCTGCTTTGATCAATGAAGAAGCTGTGGTTTTGGCCACTCTTCTCTTAGCAGAGAAAACAGGCAAACCTACAATCTTTAACCCCCCTGCCTCTCTAAATGGGCTACGGCATAGAATGATAAAGGCTTCAAAGACCACCCCTGGCAAATGTTTTTGTTGTCATTATTCAGAAGGTTATCGGAAAGGGTGGAAGGGTATCCCAGAAAAGGAGAGGGAAATCCTTCTCAATGTGGAAAATTACTCTCACTGCACTGAGAAGTTTTACCTTTATGGGAAACATAATGCTTCTCAAGCATCAGGGTATTGGCACAGTTTATATTTCCAAGAACAATACAGTGACCCCTCCCAGGGAGAGGATGAATATTACAAAAAAGCCAGAAAACAATATGAAATCATGAAAGATAGCTCCTTTGGGTTATTTTCACAGTTTATGGAACGATACAACACACTTGAAGAGTTTTTGAAAGACTTAAGAGCCCTAATGATGAGAAAAAGCATGACAACTGAAGGGGATATTCTTACATGTAATGACTGGAAAATATATGATCCCAATTTATGGTTTTTCTATGATGGTTGGGCCTCAAATTTCCATCCAGGTGGATACCAGTGTGCAGGCATTGGATACTTTACATTCCCAGTCCAGGTTGCTTCTCGCCACATAAGAACAAAGCGAGACAGATCAGCACCCCTAGGCCCGGCCTGCTCAGATGAGGTAATAATAGGAGCACAATTGTCTGAGACAGAAGGAGGCTGAGTGGCTGGAGGTCTGCTAACGGGCATACTGATGCTTGGAAGCTACCCAGGCATAGTAGCCCAAGAAAATAGAAAGAGTATCCTAGGCCTCACCTGCCGATTGGAAAAATCCATAAATGCCACAGGACTCATAGTTAGGGCCATGCAAAATGAAGTAGAAGAGTTACATCAAATTGTCTTACAACACCGTATGGCCCTGGACTATTTGTTGGCAAGACAAGGAGGTTTCTGTAAACTAATGAAAGAAGGTTGCAAAGTCAGATTTCATGATCTGAATAAAACAATCAAGGATGAACTAAATCAAATGACAGATTTAATAGAAAACAACACACATGGAGTTTCAAACCCTTTTGATTGGCTCACGAGCTGGCTACCATCAATTCAATGGTTAAAGGAACTGTTTTTTGCTTTCTGTATAATCCTATTAGTAGTGTTACTGATGTTATGTATTCTGCCTATTATTTTCCAAATGCTGAAAAGATGCATATCTAAGATGATAAATGATAAACAAGATGAAATGCAATTATTAGCTTTAGTTAGATGATGCTCCTCCCCTTCCGGTTCAGAGCATCAAAGGAGGGATTTGATGAAGGCTTGATGAAAATACATAATACACATATTGGAAAATATATTTGATATAACCATATTAGAAATAGGAGTTAGAAAATATATAAGAGAAATGTATGTATGCATGGCCATTTCACTTGACTTCTTAAAAGCTGCAAAATTAGAGGCCAGCGTCCAGGAAAGGAATGTGGTGCCTGGCACTTCAAGAGGCCTTAAGATACGGTACCAGGCACCAGGCACCTTATCATAAATTTGACTAATGAAGTGTCCATTAAGAGGTTTCAGGAATGTTATCTCAGGATGGATGGAGCAGGTCCAGAGACATCCTGGCGCTGGAAGTGCATTAATAGCCACTCTTTAGATAGTACACTAATGAAGATTGACAACTTGTTGATTTTGAAAATATGCTATTGAAGTCAGTGAAATAGTAGAGGTTTGTGACGCACATTGTGATGTTTCTATGATGCATGAATACTTATTTCAAAAAAGGTTTATAAACTCAGCATTTCCTTTGTTCGGTACCCTTCTTTCCTGGTTTACCAGGGGGTATATCCGGTTGGCGCCAACCGAGAATAAAGCGGGCTTTCCAGTACTCTCTTTGTCTTATTTCCTCAAACCTTCACTCTGCCCTAACAATCAAATAAACCAACTACACGTGGTTTATTTTCCATTATGCCACACCATCACCATAATCTTTATTCAAAGGCTGCTTCCTCATGCCCATTTCCAGAAATCTACAAATCATGGCAAACTTTCAATGGAATGGAAGGGACCCATCCAAACATTTCACATTTATTGTTGCTTTGTGCCTTCAAGCCAACACTGACCCTTAGATGGCTTTTTTGGGCCGGATTCATCCGGTGGAAGATTGCCATCTGCCTTCTGTTGTGGCTGAGAGAGTGGCACTCGTGTAAGGAGGTCTCATAGCTTTTCTATGTACCCAAACCATGTTGGGGCTCAATATATATTCAGGGACCAGATTCCCATGGCCCACAATGGAGCCTTACACGACCCCCAAACCCAACTTAAGCTAACCGCTGCTCTGTATTGTTGAAGGCTTTCATGGCTGGAATCACTTGGTTGTTGTAGGTTTTTCAGGCTATATGGCCATGTTCTAGAAGCATTA